TTCACAGAGGCTTGTACAGGGGTTGCTACTGAAGAGCCTGGAGATGTTATCGTTTAATGAAATTCAGGGTGCTGGCTATAGTAACCTCACTCATATCAACAGAATGAACCACACTTTTTCTGATTAGATAAGATTTCTCTCGAAAATAGTTTGAAATAGTTACTTTATTAGCTTTCTGTGAATTGGGCACAATACTGAATAAATGCAGGAAAGTGTCACCACACCCTGATGAATCATTGCTGTTGCAAATGTTTAGCTGGAAGAAAACTAGCCAGCCAGGCCCATGGAAATAGCCTTAAATTATAGAGAATAATTCTGACACTTTACATACAATAAAGGTAATAAAATGGGCTGAAAAAAGACTGTACATACAAGCATGCTCTGATTTTGATTTCTTGTTTTCTAGCAATCGTTGCTGGTCTTATATCGACGCAGTCTATGCAGCAGGATAGCAAAGAGCAATTTATTTTTCACTACACTGAAACATGACTGGCAGCCACCTGGAATGGTTGTCGCTCCTGCCAACAGTTCAGATACAGTTGACAACACAAAAGAAAACAAACCACGAGACTTCTTGTTGGCGGCTGATAAAAATAATAGACAATCTGCAGAAAAAGTATCAAGTCTTGAGTAGCAGTGCTAATCCTGGCAGATCCCACCAGATAAGTGAGAACGCAAAACCTTCAGTGTTCTCTGACCAATTCCAGAATTCTGCACAGGAGAAGCCTAGGGAGACTCCACCTTTGATTTCTCCTTCTTGCAGACAAAGCATCTTCCTCCTGCTCAGCGATTTCCCAATGGCATGTTGACAATCAAGAACTCATTCATTGAGAAATGTCAGGCGCAAATCAATGTTTTACCACTTGGTGGCACAGCACAATACAGCTCCAACATAGTGTACAACCAAATATCCAAAATACTGAATATCTTTTTAGTATTAATACATTTTAAAACATAAACTCCGTACCTTTTTTGCTAACAATATATTGTAGCTTTTAATGTACAGGTATTTGGTGCAAATATTACACGATCATATTAATTCAGTTGGAAAAGTGATCATACACACATTTGTTCTGTATCACAGATTCCTTGCAAAATGTTAATTGTCTTTCAGTCAGTCAGAATTTCATGTGCTTTTGTGACATGGATAACAATGCAATTATACGCTTGTGCATATAGATATTTTTAAACAAAATCATTTTGCGCTGCTTTTCATGCCCTATCTTTTCAACTATTCAAAAGAAATGTTTTACTTGTGGAAGTTCTCTGTAATTGTGATTGTTTGCTCAAGGATCCCTGTATTCATGCCTTTACATTAATGATACAGCTCATTCTAATTTTGTTTTACTATGTGCAATCTTCCCATTTACAAGCACAGAAATGATGTCCATTGCAGTAAAAATACAACTTGTAGTCATTTCAAATAATTTTTTTCTAGCAATTTGCACAGTTTCTTAGATCTGAAAGTCACACCATTTTTCTTTTCATTTGTATCAGATCAACGGCTCACACATCTCTGACTATCAAAAGAAATCTATGCAATCCAAGTCAGCCTTTTGGTGCAAATGTCTTTTAAGTTTTTCTCTTAAGTTTCATAATAATTCCGCAAAATACTTGCCATTACCTCTCCCCCGGACCTGCTAAGATCCTCATTTGTGCATTCATCACATCCAAATTAGACTATTCAAACACTCTGTTAATCATAATCCCCAGCTCCTCCATACACAAACTGCAGATCATCCCGAACTGTGCAGCTCTTGTCCTCTCCTACACCAGGCTTCATAAGTACATCATCCCATTCTCGCTTGGCTCCACTGGCTCCCCATTCCCAGCAGATTGAATTCATGTTGTCTTCATGTTCAATTCCTTGTGCTTCCCCGGCCTAGCCTCACTGTACGCCTGTGACCTCTGCACCTCTACCTCCTGCTCGCTTCCTCCACTTGGCACACGTCAGCCTGTCCTACCCCACCATCAATTGACAAGTTTTCAGCCATTCTACCCTTGTCGCTGGACCGCCATCCCAGAGTCCCGCCATCTCACCCCTCCCTGCTCACCTTTAAGAACCTTTTTGACCCTACTGACCGTACTTTGACCCTACTTACCTTTCTAATCCTGCCCATCCCTTTCTCAGTTTCCACCACCCATAGATTGGGCTCCAAGTCAGCTCCTGTGAAGTGCTTTGAGAAGTCCTCTCAACATGAAAGACACTTTACAAATGTAAAATTGTTATTATTGTAATAATACAAATACAGTATGTCCTGTGATGTGCTTTGAGACATCTGGATGACATGATAAGGCATTATATCAAATGCAAGGTTTATAATAATAATCCTTGCATTTGATATAGCGCCTTATGTCTTCAAGATGCTTCAAATGCTTCACAGAATATATTGTAAAGTGAAATGACTGTTTATTTTGGGGGCAAAATGTGGCAGCTAAGTGTGCAGTGTCCCACAAACAATCGTGGATTGAATGACCAAATTATTTTTTTTAAGGGATTATTACTCCCAGAAAAGTGATCCGCCAATTAACTAACAACCAGGTTCCTGCTTACTGCTTGGTAAACAGGCGTGTGGAGTAAGGAAATTTGCCCAACATTTCGTCCTGCCGAACCCAGGTCCACTCGCTTGCGAGGCGAGTGATCTACCACTAAACTGTAGGACTCCACAATTATAATCATATTTAGCATTTCAATGCCTCTGCTGAGGGTCTGTTCAAATTCACACTGCTACACAGTCCAGGAAATATCAAATCTAACAGTTCACATCTTCAAAGATCTGTACTTCATGCAATTAACAACCTATCTTCATAAAATGCAGTCTGCTTGCAAACAGTGGGATTCTTCATAAATGTAAGTGAATTGGTTCCATGTTCTTGAGCATATACCTTTGAAGGTAGTCAGGAGTCTGGTCTACCTGGGTAAAGATCTAAAGATGTGAGAAGAGAATGCAAAGCATTTTGATGTGCTTTGACAATAACACCTTGCACATATATAGCACCCTCCATGCAGGGTAGCATCTCAGAGCACTTAACAATAGCGGAGTAAGACTCCGAGCTGGTGGTGGGAGGTGACGGTAAGCACTCTCGAAAAGGAAGGTTTTCAGGGGGATCTTGAAAAAGGGGAGGGGGCAAGGCAGAGAGATTGAGGGAGAGTGTTCCAGAGTTTCGGGGTATAGTCGCTGAATGTGCGACTTCCAATGGTGGAGCGGAGGGCACGAGGGACAAACAGGAGGCGGTACCAGTCGAGCAGAGGCGCAGGGTAGTGGATTGGGGAGTGAGGAGTTGGCGAAGTAGAGAGGTGCCAGGAAGTTAATGGATTTGATGGGGAGCCAGTGGAGTCTGGCCAGAATTGGTGAGATGGAGTTTGGTCCGGGTAAGAATGTGAGTAGGAGAGTTCTGAATGAGCTGGATATTTTGAAATAGAGCTGGAGAGACCGGTGAGGAGTGTATGTGAGTCATCATCCAGGCAGGAGGTGATAAACGCATGCACGAGGTTTTCAGGGTAAGGTACGGTCGGACAGTGTGGCGGAGGTGATGGAAGGCGGTTCTGGTCAGGGACCAGATTTGGGAGGAAGGACAGCTGGAGGTCAAACCGGATGCCTAGATTGCACACTGGTTCAGTGAGTTTCAGGGAGAGCCCAGGGAGGTTGAGGAGTTCAGATCCGCAGGGGTGAAGACATTGACAGGAGCCAAGGAGTATGACTTCCGTCTTGTCCACATTCAGCTGCAGGAAGTCTGCACTCGTCCAGGCTCTGATGTCTGGCAGACAAGCTGATAGAATATCGGCGGAACTGGAGTCGATGCTGGAGGAGGCAATGTATTTGTGTGTCATCCGCATAAATGTGGAGATTTACCCCGTGTCTGCAGATGACATCACCAAGAGAGAGCATATAGATGAGGAAAATAAGAGGGCCAAGGATGGAGACTTGGAATACCCTGCAGGTGACCGGGCAGGGGCGGGAGGAGAAATTATTTGCCGAGATGAAGTGGAGGCGGTTGGTTAAGTTGGACGTGAACCATGAAGGTGCTGTCCCACTAAGGTGGATGAGGGAGAAGAGGTGGTGGAGGAGGATGGCGTGGTCGATGACACACAAATTTAAAGAAGATATACAAGTTGTTGTTGTAGGAAACTATGAATAGGAGCGATGGCCAATTTTGCTATCGCTTACCCAGTGGCACTGAGCTTAATTACAATTGTAACTCCCTCAACCTGACTGAGACTCAAAATATTTGATTGCTTCTCACTTTCATAAATCACAAGACAGATTAAAACTTAAAACTAAGAATATGCATTATCAGAGTGAGTGAGTGACCTCCTTTAACATATACCAGACATTAGACATTTGCAGGGGCAAGTCAGCTATAGATTGAAAGCCTAAAGGATGGAAGGAAATACTATATATTTATTATATATACTGTATTTTGATCTTCATTTTTGTCCACAAAAGAATCATTTTAGTGCATCCAGAAGAAAAATAAATCAGAAAATTGAAGATTTAGCACATATTTCTTTTCCATGCAATAAAATGAAATATTTTGGATAAAAAGCAGTATAGATCAAATGATATTGGTTGAACACTTAATTTCTTTGTGGCTTGAACTTGTACTTTTTAATTCCAGAAGATGGCAACTCTAATTATTGTTTGAATCATTATTGTAATTAAGGTCAAAACTAATTTGATTAAATGTGATTAATCAAAAGTTTGGAGCAACTGAATGGAACTCTGAAGAAACGTATGAGGGGAATTAGGACAGGCATTAGAACAGGCAAACAAATGGAAGAAAACTGAGATTTTTTAAGATTACTTCAAGGGATGTTGAAAGAAGATGTATGCCCATTGCCTGAGACCAGTAACTGTAGTTGTTGAATATGTTTGTGGCATTGTAAGACTTTCATGCCATTTAATTATGATTAATATCCAGCAGAAAGGAAGGATATTGCAAAACACTGATGAAATTCTCATTTCCGTATACGTGTGGTTCCACTTACATCTGTGTAAGATATCTCAATAGCCCACATATAGTGGTCGCTTCAAGCATGGGTAACTGGGTGGTGAATGAGGGAGTTTCCATCTTTGTAATTGTAAGTACAGTACTGTGAATGTAAAGAAACAAAGAAATGTCACATCTCCATGTTACTAATAATTTTATTTATGCTGTTTCCTGTTTAATTCTTTAAATTATTTTTTACTTTGAACAGTTTATCTGTGGTTAAAAATATTACCTTGAACATGAAGATCACTTCTCTTTCAGCAAAAAACGAGTTGTTTAAAACGTAGATGCACTCAAAAATATTCAGGTGCAACTGTTTATTTTATATTCAAATGCCCTCCTCGCCAGTCTCCCCAGCTCCGCCATCAACAAAATCCAGCTGATCCCAAACTCCGCAACGCACATGCTTACCCACGCTAAACTCCGTACCCCTATCAGACCAGTCCTAGCCAGGCTCCATTGGCTCACCATCGCCAAATGGATCAATTTCAAGATTCTCACACTTGTTTTCAAATCCCTTCATGCCCTGGTACCTCCCTACCTCTCTAATCTGCTAACCCAACAATCCACAACCCGCTGCCTCCGTTCGACTGGCTCTGGGCTCCTACATGTCCTTTGTGCCCTCCATTGCACTGGTGCTTTTAGCCACTACGCACTGAAACTCTGAAACACTCGTCCTCTATCCTTGCGCCTTGTCCCTTCCTTTCCCATCTTCAGATAGCGCCTGAAGACCTTCTGCTTTGACCATGGCTATGGTCACTTTCCCCCAACTTGGCTTTGTGCTCCGCCACTGTCAAGCTACCCTGTGTGAGGGGCGCTATATAAATGCAAATTATTGTTGTTTATCTGGTCAAATAACAAGCAATGCAGTAAAGCTACTCTTAAAGCTCATATGGAATGTACATTGCTATGAACCTATTGTATTTAAATCTTTGTCAGTGGCCGGAGGTCAGTGAAGGCATCATAAACATATACATTGGCGAGTATCGAGTATATTTATTTGTTAAAATCTGATTTTGCTACATTTAAGAGAAAAAACAAATACTTTGAGAAGTAAAACTTCCTCCGATTTTTGATTTTGACATCTAACTCAGACGGCTTGGTTCAATAGAGGTATTATGAATTGAATTTAATAAAACTATGGTACAGAATTTTAATCCATTATTCTTATGAAAATGCCTTTCTTAACAAGAAAATGAAAGAACATTCAACACATTGCATTCATCATTGATGTAATAATAACAAATATAATTCTTGCATTTGAAATAGTGCCTTATCACGTCTTCAAGACGTCTCAAAGCGCTTCACAGGATATTCTGCAAAGTGAAATGACTGTATATTTTGTGGGTGAAACGCGGCAGCCAATTTTTAAATGTATTTTATGTATTTCATAAAAAAAACTTCTATTCATACTTGTTTTGAAAACAAGCAGATACGCAACAGATATGATTTAAAAACATATGTATATTGAACATATTCACAAGTTAATTTTCTCAAAAAAATTATTTTAGATGTAATAACACTCAAACAATTCTGGATTACTTTTCTTCTTACCCCACTTTCAAATCTGTAATCTATTCATACTTGAAAACAAAATAAGTGAATATTTTTGGAATATACGTTTTAAAGCATGTGAACAATTTCAATTCCTCTTTTAATGTGTGTTTTCTGATGATATTTTTATATAATTAGATATTAAGTTTAAATAATGGTTGAGAAAAAACTTATGAGGGAAGGGCAATAAGTGGAATGTCCTTGGAGTTATACTAGCTCCAAGGTGACAAGCTAGGCAACAGTATATAAGAATCGAGTCAATATTTGTGATGGTGTTGGTAGTCTGGATGCAGAGACTATGGCGCTGCTGATGATTGGCCATCAGCTGGTTCAGCTGGTTCATAACCAGAACTTGAGCAAGTAGACCAGTCACTTGGAGCAGATTTTTCTCATGCAGCTCCAGTTAACCTCGCAAGCCAAAACCCCAATGGATAGGGTGATTCTAGCTGAACAAGCAGCTGGAAGCTTGCAGACAGCGTTTTCAAGTTTTAGCTGGTTAGACTCTAGCAATAAACTAATGCATACTCTGGGGGTCTCCAAGCTTTGGCTTTTGCCAAACTATATGCAATATACTTTGGAATTACCAAAGCAGGGATTGTACCTCTGGGGAGAGAATGTTCTATTCCAGACACAGAGATTTACAAGTATAGATGCCATACATAGCACTCTCAGTCTGGTGTGGATGCATTAAGGATGATGAAACTGGATTTCCATATTTGTGAGACATACAACTGATAAAAAAACACTATTGACATCAAATAAACATCTAAAACGACTTATAATTAATTTGAAATTAATGAATGCGATGTGGCAACTAATATGTGTTAGCAATGTCCAAGAACAACAAATCACAATAAAATTATTGTCATTTTTATTTAATAATAATAATAATCCTTGCATTTGATATAACGCTTTTCACGTCTTCTAGACGTCTCAAAGCACTTCACAGAATAGACTGTAAAGTGAATTGACTATATATTTATGGGCGAAATGTGGCAGCCAATTGCGCACAGCAGTGTCCCACAAACAGTCGTGGATTGAAATGACCAATTTATAATTGTTTTTTTTGGAGGGATTATTATCAGGCGTGTGGAGCAAGGAAACTTACCCAAGGTTTCGCCCTGTCTGGAATTGAACCCGGGTGTCTCGCTTGCAAAGCAAGTGCTCTAACCACTCTAACCACTAACCATCTATTTCATGTAATTTGAATGAGGAACATAAACCAGGATAAACTGAAAGAACAACAACAAAATTACATTTGTAAAGCACCTTTCACGTTGGGAGGACATCCCAAGGCGCTGAACAGTCAGGGATCAGGACCCAAGCTTGGGGGGCAGGGTTGGGATGAGGGAGGGCAAAGGGTGGCTGAAGGTACAGTCAAAAAGGAGGGTCTTGAGTTATAATAATAATAATAATAATAATAATAATCCTTGCATTTGATATAGCGCTTTTCACGTCGGGAGGACGTCCCAAAGCACTTCACAGAACACACTGTAAAGTGAATTGACTATATTTGTGGGCGAACGCGGCAGCCAATTGCGCACAGCAATGTCCCACAAACAGTCGTAGATTGAAAATGACCAATTTAATTATTGTTTTTTTTTTGGAGGGAATATTATTAGGCGTGTGGAGTAAGGAAACTTGCCCAAGGTTCCGCCCTGCCTGGAATTGAACTCGGGTCTCTCACTTGCAAAGCGAGTGCTCTAACCACTGAGCTACAGGACTCCACGAGTTGTGCCTTGAAGGAGGCAAGAGAGGCAGCAAGGCGAAGGGATTATGAAATGGAGTTCCAAAGAGTGGGGGCAGAGAGGCTGAAAGCCCAGCCACCGATGGTAGGGTGGGAGACCTGGAGCTGACCAGAGCCTGCTGAACGGAGGGAGCGGACAGATCGATAGGGGATCAGCAGGTCAGAGATGTTGGAGGGGGAAAGGCCATGGAGGGCCTTGAAAGTAAGGATGAGGATTTTGAATTCTGTTCTCTGAGTGATGGGGAGCTAGTGGAGATGGGAGAGGATGGGTGTGATGGGGTCACGAGCCTGTGCGGGAGAGGAAATACGCTGTAGAGTTCTGGATGATCTGCAGCTTGTGAAGGGAAGAGTTGGGGAGGCCGACAAGGATGGAGTTTCCATAGTCGAGCTCCCTCCCTCCTCATGTTCAAAGAAATACAAAGAAGAACTGTTAGACTCCCATAAAGCTGGCCCCAAAGAACAAGTTCAGAGAGTGGTGGTACCTTCACTTTGTTAGTCTGGTCACATTAGAGAGAAAAAAGGATCAGCTTCTCCTAACTCAGGCAATCTCCTAATTTGTAACACAACTACAGCACTTACCTGCTGCATTGAAGTACGCTTGTGCTATGTTCTGTTTGAAACAAATGCAGGAAACAAAGACTTGACCCGTCACTGCATGCGCACTTATCAGTTTTAGTGATGAAGTACCGCATGCACAGTACAGTGTACTCCATTGAAATAAGCCTGGAAAATGAGGTACAACTAAATGCAAGTTAGTGAAAAGGACCTTGTACTTGTTTATTGTATTTGTTATGTGTTAGTCGTACACAATCTGAATTATACTTACCATATAACTGATACAAGTTTGCCTGGAACCTCATACCTCATCAGTCATATTAAATGTTATGGTCCACAACATATACGCCTTATGCTAGTTTTACTGTATTTCTAAAAGAGTTATATGTTTCTTCCTCTAATTTTCTCTGTACCTGAAAGAATTCATAATTCTTTCTTCTTTACTACTGGGATATTAATCTTTGGCGCCAAGTGACTTCATGCACCTTGTCCAAGTGGCTATTATTCATGTGTGATGCATGATGTTGAGTACTCAACCATAGGAGGTATCAAAGGGAAACTGAATCCTGCCCTCACCCAATGTCTACAAATGAGCACCAACAGGAGTGTCTGGAGAGCAGTCACAAATAAGAACCTCCCTAATCCAGTTGCAGCTCCCCATAAATTGCTTCAGTTGAAGTCAGCTAATGTAACACAGGCAAGGATTTGAATTTACAACTATTTGGCTTGAATGGTCCAGCACTGGATAATGGCTTTACTTAACAGGCCATCAGGAAACTCTAAAAAAAATGGATCTGCACGATCAAAGCAAATACTATGAGACTCTGTATTTCATTTTCACATTGTCTGAAATTACCATCATTTTTAAAAAAAAATAAGGTTTGAGTTAGAAAAAAAAGTCAAATGGAAATTATTTATTTCATGTAAACCGAAGTTTACTCATAAAGATTAAAGTGCAGTATGGGCAACCATAGAGGGTTGAAGACTAGAAACTCTATCCTATTTACTGTGAATCTCATTGATTTTCTTTCTGTTTGTTTTACAGCTGGTATGGCTTGGAATAAATGGTTTCCTCTTCGTGCATTATTATTTTGTGTACGAGGATGGCCAATCATATTTTTACACAAGGGAACTTGTTGGTGTGAGTATGGACCTTGATGATCATAGCACTATTGAATTATATTTTATCTGCTGCATGTTAAATTTCACAGGCCTATGGGGTGAAAATGCGACATTGAATGTCAAAATGTTCACATTGTTGTACAATTCGCCACATGTTCTGTCTTCTTTTCCACCCGCTATATAAATCCTGTCTGCTTTTGTTTCAGGGTTTGCAATGATAATTAAGACATTAAAAGTCATATTTTTTCCACTCCTCTCCCTGTGAAAGCATTTCACATTTCTTTTTGTTTGACTTATTTAGTCTGCTCTGGCATGGGCCAGAGCACCCGCTGCGTGTTTGAACTTTAACTGTTTGCTGATCTTGCTGCCAGTGTGTCGAAATCTGTTGTCACTCTTGAGAGGATCATGTGGGGTAAGTAGTGCTATTATTAACCTTGTTCTTTTCAACTCACTGTTAGTTTTGTTCCCCGCCTTTTCTTTCAGATTTGCTAATTTACAATTTGTAGGTTGACTATTGTTTAGCACATTACAATCCAGCCTTGCAAACTGAAAGTTGCAACTAACACAAAATATCGAGTGTGAAAATATCGCACATTTAGACCCCATTTTGGTGTGCCATTCATTGTCAGCACCACTGGAATGGTCTCTACTGAAAATAATATTGAAATAAACTGATTCTCAAACAGCAATGCCAATGCTTGTTGCATTTTGTTGATGTACACTTTTTTGGCTTAGTCGACTCCACACGAACACTGCATGGAAATCCTGTGCTGGAAAATCTGCTCAACTGGCACAGGCCTCCTGCTTGTCCCTCGCACCCTCCACCCCACCATCGAAGGTCGCGCTTCCAACCACTACACCTCGAAACTCTGGAACCCTCTCCCTCAATCCCTCTGCCTTACCCTTTCTCTCCCCTTGTTCAAGTCCTGCCTGAAAACCTTGGTAACCATGTTCACATACTTCAAACAAGTATATGGGGGGGTGGGGGGCAGGAGATAGGAGTGTGGGGGAGCAGGTGACTGGAGATAGAGTCAAAGAGGTAGGTTTTAAGGCGGGTCTTGAAGACAGATAGAGAGGGGGCGAGTTGGACATAGGTGGGGGTTGAAAATATTCCTGGGTGAAAGATTCAGGAGTGAAATTAGGAGGCAGTTTTTCACCCAAAGGGTAGTGGTAATTTGGAACTCTCTTCTCCAAAAGGCTGCGGATGCTGGATCCATTCACATTTTCAAGACTGAGATAGATATATATTTGTTAGGTCCAGGTAGTAAGGGATATGGGGTAAGGGCGGGTAATTGGACTCGAGCTACAGATCAGCCATGATCTTATAAAATGGTGGAACAAGCTTGAGGGGCTGAATAGCCCACTCCTGTTTCTCTTTTTATATGTTTCTATTACGTGCCAATGAGCAGCCTGCCAGTTGGAAGCAAACGGGCACTGCCAATGAGTTGGGAGAGTAGCAAGTAGGAGCCCCAAGTAAGGGCTGCTCGGAAGAATGGCTGTGGTCCTCCTCAGGCTTCCCCTCCCAACTCCCTTTAGAGAGCTGAGCTGTATATAGATTGGGCGAGAGGGGTGGGGGATTGAGCTCTTCCTGGCCCTAGCCACCTACGGCCTATGGAGATGGAGGGGCCAAGGTGGATTTCCAGAGATTAGGGGTTTGAATTCGAAAACTGGGTGATGCACGTAGGCCAGGGTACACTCAGCAAGCCCAAGTTGGCCAATGGAGGGGACAAACGGAGGAATAGTGTAGGAGAGATAGGGAGTATGAAGGGATTTGTAGGTGAAAGTGAGGACCTTGAAATCACTGAGAGCAGAGAGAGTGTGGACTGGGGTGATGGACATACGGACTGAGGAAACTGGTGGAAGAGTAACATCAGTAATATCTGTTTTAATTGAAAGTGTTGCAGAGGAATTCTCAGAAGACAGCTGGACAGAAACATCGCCTTCCACAAGCTATTGGCTTATATGATTGCATTGCATACAGGTAAACTGAAGAGATCAGTGCAGTTACCTTTGTACATTACAACAAAGAGTAGATCATAATATTCAAGCAACTAATTCTACTCTTTGGTTGCCACAATGATGCAGGGAGGGATGCAGAGAAAACGTAAAAGACTGTGATAACATTATTCGACAGGTGAAATCAAGTATAGCTGTTGTCAAATGTTGCTCTTTTCTCAGTCTAGAAACGGTATTTAATGGCACTTTGATGGGGCACAAAATCTGGCAGTTAAAATAATCTTTCTTATTTTTTATAAGCCTGAAATGAAAAGAAAATGACAATTGCCTCTTGTATAAATTCTGATGATTTTTTTTGCTCTCGTAATTTTAGATTTTTAAAAAAAGTCACTCAATTCACGACAGGAACATTTCTGTGTACAATTGGCTGCCGCATTTCGCCCACAAAATACACAGGCAATCCATTTTAATAATAATAATAATAATCCTTGCATTTGATAATAATAATAATAATCCTTGCATTTGATATAGCGCTTTTCACGTCGGGAGGACGTCCCAAAGCGCTTCACAGAACACACTGTAAAGTGAATTGACTATATATTTATGGGCGAAATGTGGCAGCCAATTGCGCATAGCAATGTCCCACAAACAGTCGTAGATTGAAAATGACCAATTTATTATTGTTTTTGGTTTTGGAGGGATTATTATTAGGCGTGTGGAGTAAGGAAACTTGCCCAAGGTTTCGCCCTGCCTGGAATTGAACTCAGGTCTCTCACTTGCAAAGCGAGTGCTCTAACCACTGAGCTACATGACTCCATTTTACAACATATTCTGTGAAGTGTTTTGAGACATCTAAACGTTGTGTTAGGGCACTATATCAAACGCAAGGATTATTATTAAATGTAAAACTACTTTGCAATTTTTCAGTACGTTGCCTAAAAACAAAAAAAAACAAAGAAAGCAGAAGTTCCTCTAATGTAACTTCCCAATTTGCTAGCTTGAGAAAACACTGTTGCAAAACCAATTCAACGGCTGTACTGGTACAAACCTATGTTTATTTTTGAACAGTTTAAAAAAAACTATTTAATTAGTAGCTTTCCAATAGTTTTGCTAATTCACTTATGAGAAGCACGTATGACAGTTTTGTGACACAAGCAGAAAATTCATCAGTAAATTGTGTATAATCATGGTTAAAATTTTCAAAAATTATTAAATATGCATTAGTAATTAATAAAGAAATTGGTGCGATATAAAGTCAGGTTATTCTTATTAATACTCAACAGAGTGTACCTGTGTAATCATGGTTGTCCAGTAAGTCACAACACTCAATGGATATTATTCAAATGGCTTTAATATGCTTTAAGATAAATATCCTCGTCATTCATTAGAATATTTTACAATACTTTTGTGATTCATAAAATAATTTCATGCTAAAGAGGAAGATATTTCTATCAATGATTGGTATTGACCCAAATAGTTCCTCGGCAGTATTTTTTCAAGCGTTTTTAAGCTAATTCATCTTCCATTGAAGGAAAGGGCACCTTCAGCAACTTCTAGAGTGGAAACATTGACTTGTTGGTCTTGCTGTGCATCTGTTCAGCTATAAATATGTTCAAGCCCCAATGGCAGGATGTAGTCTTATAATCTTGGCTGACATTATAGAGAAGTGCTGAAACAGTGGTATATTGTCAAAGGTACACGCACACTGATTCTAGTGCAGTACGTATATAATGATGTTAGAATGGATTCAAGATTATGGCTATGCATTTTTGGTTAAGCTGATTGAAAATGACCACCTGTTTCATTATTGCCCAAGGAATGGTCACTGCAAATCACTGAACAACAAATGAATACATTTAGAGGCTCATCATGTTGACTGTCCTATGTGTTATTACATGAATGAAGATGTAACAGACTGTGCACCATTTCCTTTCCAGTCATTCATATTGTAGCACATTTATTCAACTTTGAGCGATTTATGAATAGTCAGCTGGGTGAGAACGGACCCCTTAACGATGCTTTGTCTCAAGTGGGAAATGAGAATGATAAAGCCAGAGCATTTCTGAATCCAATTCAAACCCGTGCAACGGTAATCTTTGTTTATTTTTACTGATATGTAATAACTAGATTATTGCTTATTATATTATACAATTCATGACAATTGTTTGAAATGCCCATGATAATTGTGCAATCTAAAAGAACTGACATATTCACTGCAGTAAAATATATGCTAGAAGCCTGTTTACATCATTAAAGAATTGAAAATCAAAGATTACAAGAGAAATGCAGATGAAGAAGTTTAATTTTAGGATGGCATTTTGTGTAGCATTATGGAAATGCTACAGCAATGGCACCTGGGTTCATTATTCCTATAAACAAAGATAACTATTAACTAACTTTGATCTCCTAGTGCATCTATACAAAAGTGGCAAAATGAATACGGTATGGACAAAATTCATATAATGTTGATAATTATCTCGGGCACAATATTATTAATGTGTCAAATGATTGTTGTTCTATAAACTCTCATCCAGGAGGAATTGGGCCAGGGCTCTCTGTAAGCGCATTTTACTTATTCTACCTTTCAGCCAGTAGACGTCAAATGTTTTCCAGTTGGTTAGTGCTGAAGTCACACTAGATCAATGCTTTCTTTTTACACTTTATGTAAAAAAAGTCCCACCTCTCCATGCAGAGCTCTGCCGAAGAACGGATCAATATGTTTTTTATACTGTCATTGCTTTTCCTTTCTAGAATCCTACAAGAGTGGCATTCACAACTCTGGCTGGTCTAACTGGGGTTGCCAGCACTCTAGCTCTGATACTGATAATAACTTCATCGACAGAAATAATCAGGAGGTCTTATTTTGAGGTCTTCTGGTACATTCACCACCTTTTTGTGATTTTTTTTGCCGGGCTTGTTATCCATGGAGCTGGGTATGTAATTACGATTTTTTCATAAATATTACTCCAGAGATATGAGGTTAGATATTTTTAAAAATAATTTTTATTGTTAGTTAAGTGGTATGGGTGTATTTAAACGGGAAGGATGCTGTAAAATGCTCTGCTTTTAAAACAAAGTGATTTCTCAGTCAGGTTTACTCCCTGTTGGAAAAATTAAGTGCCCAATGCCAGGCAGTTCTGCAGTGAAATATTTTAAAATAGGGAATAAGACTTAAAGGTTTTTAGTCATGATGCGCTTTATTTAAAATTTAAACCCAATGTCTTCCTAAAAAGCTTGAGCACTAAAAAAAATCTTTATTTTAAATTTCCAGCCAAATTGTACGTGGACAAACAGCCCAAAGTGTGAAAAATCACAACGCAACCTTTTGCAAAGACAAATTCGATGACTGGGGCAACTATCCTAAATGCCCTTATCCTGAGTTTACAGGGAGTTCCCCAAAGGTAGGTTTGACTTTTGCTCTCTATTCAAACACTTATACTTCTATGAGACTTGTTCAGCATTAGTAAACTGAATATGTTCACACTTCCTGCCCACATGCAGTAATCAGATTATTCCTCTTCTAGACCTGGAGATGGGTGGTCGGCCCAATGATTTTATATGTCTGTGAGAGATTGGTCCGATTGTGGCGTTCCCACCAGAAGGTTGTCATTACCAAGGTAAGCTTACAGTTTGACTAAATATTAGTCGTGTGAGGAATTTGCCAAATAATGCAAAGATCTGGAAGACCTTCTGCATCTGAAGGTCACTAGTAGTTCTGTGTAAAGGTTGTGAAATCTATGCTTCTTTTGTCTCCAGTCTAAGAAATATATTGAATGTTACCAAAAAAATGTATTGTTCAGTAGGCTGGAGCCACAAAGTATCAGAACTCAAGTTTACAGCCCATTTGTCTGCTCAGTCCTACTTAAGATGCCATAGAGAGGAGCTGAATGGAAGTCAGAAGTCTGAAATTTCACATGGTTCTAGCCTTAAGTCTATTATCTTAACATTTCAGATTATTTGTGCCATTTGTTAGTTCAGCGTATCTCTGTTTGCAGGTTGTTACTCATCCTTCCAAAGTGATTGAGCTACAAATGAAGAAGCGAGGGTTTAAGATGGAAGTTGGCCAGTATATTTCTGTTCAGTGCTCAAAGATTTCAAGGCTGGAGTGGCACCCTTTCACATTGACCTCTGCCCCTGAGGAAGATCACTTCAGTATTCATGTGCGAATAATGGGAGACTGGACCGATAGTCTGTTCAAAGTTTGTGGTGGAGATCAGACAGAATTCCAGGAAGCATGGAAACTCCCCAGGTAGGCAAAGTGGAATCATCACGATTCGGTTCAAATCATCATTTCAATTTTTCTCTGCCCAAAATGGAATCCAAATTAATAGGAACATGTTGTTCCTATTGAAAGAAACTGAATGCATAGTTTGGTCATTTATTTGTAAAGTTAAACAATTCTGATATTAACAAAACTTTACCATCTGTGTGATTATCGATATTTCATCTCCTAAGACCGAGAGTAAAACTATCTAGCTTTCATTGTCTGAACCAGATTTAGGCTGTCATTTATACTTGTAAAAATCAGCGAGTATCATACGAGGGCAAGAGAATCTCATTCATGAATATGTCTGAAAGGGAGTTGGCTCTGAAACAATGTGATTATAAAAAGCATTTAATAAGCTGAAGATAACACTAAAATTCTAACAAAAATCGCATAAAATGGTTAGAGCAGAGAAACTCAGAAAAAAAAATTGTCTCATGAAAAAGCTAAAGAATAATCAAATTGAAATTGCAAATCTATGTGTGTTTTGTGCTGTGCTTCGGGAAACCTACCGACTGACATAACTCTGAGGTTCTTGCAGTAGGGATGAGACCCCAGCTTCTAATATTGACTTTTTTTCAGGATTGCAGTGGATGGTCCTTTCGGTACAGCAAGTGAGGATGTCTTTCTGTATGAAACTGTTGTGCTGGTTGGTGCTGGAATTGGGGTCACTCCATTTGCGTCTATTCTCAAATCAATCTGGTACAAGTACACCCACTCTAATCCAAATCTAAAGCTTAAGAAGGTATGACACAATGAATGCAACAGAGCAATGGACATTTATCTGGGCAGATTTGGTTATCTTTCAAGCATGAATTAGTATAATGTAACAAATATTTCAGATAAGAGTTCATACAAACCACAAACTATCACGTTCCATTGATATAGATAAAATTGGTCATTAATTTCACGACTATTTGTGGAACATTATTGTGCACAAATTAGCTGTCATTAGAAACTACACAAACTAGATAATAATGAGATGTGGTATAATATTTTTTTCGAATCGTACAGCACAAAAAGAGGCCATTCGGCCCATCAAGTTTGTGCCGGCTCTTTGAAAAGAGCAATGTAATGTCAATCCCACTCCCCAGCCCTTTCCCCATAAATCTGCAAACCCATCCTCCTCAAATATCCATTCACCGTGTTTTTAAAAGTAGTTATCGAATCAAGTTGTGGTAAATGATTATCAGATCGCTGATAATTGCAGTCCAAAACAGTTTGTAATTATTGGATAGGTTGGGTGTAAACCCCATTCCCTGACTTCAGCACAGTGGTTTGGCCTGAAGCTACTACAATTATTGCTGCATCCCCCCACCCACTGCAAGGTGGAGCATGTCAGTGCACAAGGTTGACTTGAACTGTTAAGCCAGTTACAGACAGTACAATACAAAATTACATTTAAATAGCGCCTTTCACGTTGTGAGGACGTAAGAAGGTGCGCGACGGCTCGGTCGAAGAGAAGGGTTTTGAGATGTGCCTTGAAGGAGGCAAGGGAGCGAGGCAAAAGGAATGTGGGATGGGATTTCATAGGGTGGGGCAGAAAGGCTGAAGGCACGATTGCCGATGGTGGGGTGGGCTGGGTGGGGGACATGGAGCAGGCCAGAGCCTGCTGAACGGTGGGAGCGGACAGGTTTATATGGGGTCAGAAGGTCGCAGAGGTAGGGAGGGGCAAGGACGAGGATTGCCGAATAGATGGTTTCTTAGCAACCAACTGAATTACAAAGCAGGCAATACTTAAATTAAGGACTCAATTGAAGAAGGGATGATAACTTGGAAATAATTAAATAATAAATTTGTATTTAATTTAGATTTTAGTTATGTAGGCAAATATAGCACTAACAGTAAAAGCCATTGCTGTAGCATTCTAAAGGCAACAGGAAGAGAGGGGCATTAGAACTGCTCATTTTGGAAACAGTTGCTCAACTCTACTTTTTAACAGTTGCACAAAAAGGAAGTGGGAACAAAACTGCTATTGACAAAATGAAAAGGGAAGGAATAAGAGTTAAATTATGCAACAATGCACAGATGAGTTGTGTATGCAATAATATGCTGAAATATCGTGCTGCTGTTTTCTTGTCTTAGATCTTCTTTTACTGGCTCTGCCGAGAAACCAGCGCCTTTGAATGGTTCACTGACCTGCTCCAGTCACTCGAGTCACAAATGCAGGAAGGAGGCAACGCTAATTTTCTGACTTATAATATCCATCTGACTGGATGGGATGAAAAACAGGTACTTAGTTATCAAAATGATCAAACTGCTGAACTGGGTTATGCTGTTTCCTAGATTTAGTTAAAGATTATGATTATTGCATTGACGACGGTTTTTGTAAGCAAGTGGACCCAAGTTTGATTCCCTAGCAGGGCAAAACATTGGGCAAGTTTCCTTACTTCACACGCCTTTGTTTACCGAGCAGTCAGTAGAAACCCGGTTGTTAGTCGAATGGTGGATCGATTTTGGATCGATTTTCCGGGGGTAATAATCTCTTCAAAATAAAATAATAATTTGGTCACTCAATCCACGTCTGTTTGTGGGACACTGCTATGCACAATTGGCTGCCACATTTCGCCCACAAAATATACAGTCAGTTCACTTTACGGTATATTCTGTGAACCGCTTTGAGACGTGTCGAAGATGTGATATGGCGCTATATCAAATGCAAGGATTATTATTATGACAGATCTTAAAATGGATTTTGAAGATGGGGGGGAAGCAGAAAGGTGGAGAGACTCCGTATTGAATTTGAAAGAGCTGGGGCAGAATGCCTGAAAGTCACATCTCAAAACATGTCAAATTAGCATACACTGCAGCATCACAGCTAACAGGAGATATAACTAACGTTTTTTCATGGAAGTGTTATATATTTCCATGAAAAAAACATTAGTTATATCGCCTGTTAGCTGTGATGCTGCAGTGTATCAGCGTTGGGTCTTTGAAGACCTGTTCGTTTTTCATACAAGACTAGTGTCAATATTAAATTGTTCTTTCCCTGTTTGTAGGCCACTCACTTTGCCATGCATCACGAAGAACAAACCGACGTCATTACTGGACTCAAACAAAAGACATTTTATGGGAGACCAAACTGGGACCATGAATTTAAAGACATAGCAACCAACTATCCAAAGTAAGGCTTTCTGAAAGCACTGTATAAACCTGGAATGTTTGGTTATCAATATTGCCTTTTGCCTTCACAGAATGTATATTACAACATTTTAAAAACATCAAAATTATGTTCATGAAACAATCTTGTTGGTTACATCTACTTTTTCATTTTTAATTTTTTTTATTTTGAGCTTGTCTCGTTTCATATTCCCAAAGTAATCATTATTATTGTTAAATCCAGAGAAGTTCCAATCTCCTTCCTAGCTAATCTGGTGAGTTATCAGCTCACATATAGTGACGTTAAAGAAAATATTCAAATATACTCATCTTGGCTTTTGTCTCTGGGTCAAAAAATTGTGCTTTCAAATCCTGCTTCAGGGACTCTGAGCTTGTCGTCTAGGCTGATACTCCAGTGCAGTGTTGGTAGTTTGCTGTACAGTGCTGTCCTTCAGATGAGATTTCAAATTGAGGTCTGCCTTTTTGGTGGACGTTAAAGATCTCTCAGGACTCTTTGACAAGATAACATTCTCCCAGTATCCTGGCCAATAATAAAAATAACATAATAATCTTTGCAATTGATAAAGTGCCTTATCATGTTGTTGATATGCCTCATAGAGCTTCACAGGAATAACTGTAAAGTTTAGTGACTGTGTCTTTGAGGGCAAATAAAGCAACCACTTTGAGTCAAGAATGTCCCACAAACAACAATAAAGTGAATGCCCAATTTTATCTGGAGCATTGTTGGTCAGGATACTGGGAGAAACTCCCTTCTCTTTTCAAATACGACCATTTGGATCTGACCACTTGAACAGTTAACACCTCAACTGAAAGACATCATCTTTGACAATGCACCATTCCCCCATTACTGGATTGGTGTATCAGTCGACACTAACTTTCAGTTAAATTGATAATTCACTTCCTGGCTGTATAATTTTTTGAAACTCGGGTGACCGTTTTTATAGAAGAGAACCAATTGAGCTAACCCTAATATACACTAAATATACAAATGATCAATAGGAAATGAATTATGCACAGCAAAACTAAACACTGAAAGTGTAGCACTGAAGCTGTATGGAATTTTAGTATCATATTATAATCCACTCGGACGTTACATAGCCTAAGTTTGAAACTCAAGTAAGATCTCAAGCAGATTTTACAGCAGCAGGGTCTGCTCTCTACCTCAGTGCAGTTGTTTCCCATAGAATCAGTTCTCCCTCCAGAAACACTCTTTCAGTTTGCCACTCACATTTCGTTTTTTAGTATGCCCCTGGGGTTATGTTACACCCAAACCATCTCAACTTTCTAGCTGAAGGGAAATCTAGTGAGAGAAAAAATGATCTACTGAGCAAACAAGGTGAGGAGCGAATATATAATGAAGGATGCTTCTTTTAGTGAAAGTAAACCTATTTTCTTTTGCAGCTCCAATGTGGGAGTCTTCCTCTGTGGACCACAAGCTCTGGCTAAAACCCTGAACAAAATGTGCATCGATCACTCATCTGCTGACCCAAGAGGAGTGCACTTTATATTCAACAAGGAAAACTTTTGAATGCTGTTACTGTCACTTTCATTTAGTTTCAGTATTTTTTACTTTTTCTACAGTATGACAAATTTATAAAACACCAACACATTTGTCAGGTTGAGATTATTTCTGCTTTTAACCCTACCTACTTCTGGCCTCCTAAGAGGAGGAGAGAATACATCAGCAACTCATCCATTGGCCTCCACGGTCAGTGACAATAGAAATGTCCTTGCTGCATTAATGGATACTGTGATAGGATCTGAACTGCCCAGCTTCCCAGAGGGCATATACAAAAATCTAATATTGCCACCCAACCATCTCCAGTTCTAGACTATGTGAGGTTGCATAGCTGCAGGCCATTGCACACAAAATCTAAGAGTGCAATCTAATGAACACAGCACTAAAAATGAAGATCCTGTCCTCATTCAATACATATCGGCAAAATTATAGATTATGCTCAGGTATTTAAAAATTAATGAGAATTCAGTTTGGTTCTATTAGTCCATTTCTATTGTAAAGGATGTTTCCTCTTAAATGTTTCCCTTTTAAATAATTATGCTAATGCTCGATTAATAAACCTGTTTCTTTACTGAATGGGTTCACACAGCACTTGCATGTGTTGCACTGTGAGATGAGGTATCAGCTTTTCCATAAACCTTATCCATTCTAAGTAGTGTAATACTTATTGATGATTTAACAAATCTGTATTTCAATAAATTATTCTGCCACCATGTTAAAAGTCTGAATATTTCACTCCAATGCTCATGGCCTTCAGCTGCAAGAGGAAACTATACATTTTGAATATTCAGTGTAATCATTTTTTTTAATAACAGTATTTCAACAATCCATTGTGTGCTGATGTCCTTTTTGGTGTGTGTGGGGGGTGTGGGGGAAGTGGGAGTGGACCATGTGCTTCATGTTCATTCAAGGATCAAGGATCTTTGGTATGTTGGAAAGGTGATGGTAGAGGAGAGGGTCAGATAGATGGCGTGTTAATCGGTTACGGCACTCCTATTCCGTTGATTGTTTCCATTGAATTGCTGGTTCCATTCCTTCCCTGAAGGCGGTCAGGTCATTCTGAAGAAACCTCAATAACAGGAAAACAATAGATATTATCCCCAATGGTTGATTGTTAAGGAAAAATCATACATTCAATGTTTTCCTACNAAAAATACGACAGGGGGTTGAGTTGTTTGTATCTACACCTCTCAAAGCCTTATTTAGAGCTCCTACTGTAAACAAGATGTTGATTATTGCACAAGAATGCCAGAGGATTAGTATCTCGGTATAGTAATAGGAGTAATAATCCTTGTAGTTGATATAGCACTTATAACATCAAAACATCTCAAAGAGTTTTACAGCGGTGACTATTAAATGCAGTGACTGTGTATATTTTAGACAAATGCGGCAGTCAATTTGTACATAGCAATGGAGTAAATGACCAATTTTAACTGGAGGATTGTCAGCCAGAACATCAGAAGAAACTTGTCGTTTCAATGGGATCTTTGGCGTACAGCTGTAAAACAGATGGGATCTCAGCTGAACGATGCACCTCCTACAATGGAGTACTCCATATGTGCTGATTTTGAGTCTTAAGTTTCAATGAGAGGTTTGAAACCCACATGGCTTAATTTAGCCAGACTGACACTGCAGGCACTCGCAGACAGTAAGCCACAAAAGAGGAAGGTAAGATCTTTAGGTCTTGGTTAAAAAACCTGAAGGTTTGGGAACTTTGCTTTGGGTTTATCTAGAATACTCATTTGAGGAATTGGTTGGAAGGTATTTTCCAATATGTCAATTAACACAGTTGGCGTGTACAGAGTCATGACCAATGTCCTAGCTGAAAGGTTACTGTGAGGAAGCTGTAATGTTCATCTTATCGAATCCTTTCATAATTTTATTATGCCCTCATTCGGATGAGATGTTAAACCGAGACCCCTCCTGCCTGATCAGATGGCCATTAACAATCCTGCGGCATTATTCAAAGAGAAGGTAGTTTCTCACGGTGTCCTGGCCAACAATCTATCAAATTTAAATTGGTCATTCACTTCAGGACTGTTTATGGGACATTGTTTGTGCAAATTGGTTGCCCCGTATGCCCACAAAACACACAATTACTGCATTTTACAATATATCCTGTGAAACACTTTGGGGCATCCTTCCAACGTGAAAGGTGCCAGACCAAATGTAGGGATTGTTATCATCCACTCATCCCTGGTAACATTCTAGTAAATTTATGCTGTACTCATTACTACAATCATTTCTGTCATGTAGGGACTAATACTGTACACAATATTCCAAATGTGGTCTAATCAAGGTTTTATATACAATGCAACATCAATCCTTACTCTATTTCTGTGGTTAGAAAGGCATTCTTACATTCATTATGGCCTTCTTGACCTATGCTGTATTTTGAAGTCTTGTGATTAGGAATCCATAAATCCCTTTGCTCCTCTACCCCTTAGCGTCTTACTACCCAGGGTACAGTCGACTTCTTTATTCTTCCTCCCAAAGTGAATCACTTTATATTAAACTTCCATCTGCCATTTCCTGCCCATTCTGCAATCGTGTTTTTTATTTTCCTGTATCTTGCAATGCTCTTCATTATTTACCACTGGTAAATTTCAACACCAAACCTCTTATATCCAAGTCCAAATCATTTATCTACTTGGTAAACAGCAGTGGTCCTAATCCGGATCCCCATGAAGCACCTACTTCTTGCTAGTCTGGGAAGCTGGCCTTTATTTTCCATTTTCTAGCCAATTCTCAATCAATTCTGCTACCTCTCCCATGACTCCCTATTCCGTTTATAGCTACTAGTCTTGCATGTGGCACCTTAACAAAGGCTTGATGGAACAACAAGAAAATTACACTTGTAAAGCGTCTTTCACGTGGGGAAGATGTCCCAAGGCGCTGGACAGATACGGACCCAAGCTGGTCAGGGTCTGAGAGGGTGGAGGGCAGGGTGGGAAATCAGAGAAATTGAAAGCACGGTTAAAGAGGAGGGTCTTGAGATGGGAGGGGAGGGGGCGAGGCAGAGGGATTGCAGGATGGAGTTCCAGAGGGTGAGGACAGAGTGGCAGAAGGCCCGCCCGCCAATGGTAGGGCGAGCAAGACGGGGGGGGGGGGGGGGGGGGGGGAGTCCACATGCACTGTATTTCTCAGTTATTTCTTCAAAGATTATATCAAAAAACATGATTTTCCTTACATAAACCCATTGTTTTTAATTATACATTCCATTCTTTGTTATAGGTTTCAATACCTTGCTCATGAGAACCAACACTTTATAGATGTCAAAATTCCAGGTATCACATGCTGGAACTTACACCCTTGAAGATGCCGTCAGTTTATGTTACTGTATTTAGATTTATAATTCTGTGTTTTGCTATTGCTATTGGAGTCTTTCTCTTTTATTACCATCATAATGTTTATTCTCACTGCTACTAACTATTGCTAGCAGGGTGTGGGATGTTTCAATTTTCCTTCAATTGGAAAACAAACAATACTTTGCTATATAAAAGGATGATTTTAGTTAAATATACTGGATAGGTTACCTAAAGTTAATAATATACTGTATGTAGTGCATTGGGTGGTGATTATAATGTTAAATAGATGCTTTGCTTGCCTTATGTTACTTCTAATTTGTATTGTCACTTTTAAATGTTCCAAAAGTTGAAGGAAACTATGAAATACTAGACAAGGTTTTTGCAGTTGATTAATGACACAAGAACTGTACAAGTAATTATTTATTTTAAGAGCATTTTGTTCACAAATAGAAAGTCCTCATCAATTCATACTATCAAATTTCATGAATGCAAACTGTTAATGATTTACAGCTTTGCTTGTTGGTGAGTAATGTAGAATGTTGTTGTACCACTATTGCAGCTCCATGGATGAAAGGTCCAATCCCTTCCCTACTCTGAAGGAGGTATCTGGCCTCCAGTTAGTCTCTCCACATGTGGAGGATGCGATTGTAGAGGAAAAATGGAGAGAGGTTGACAGGTCTTGTACTGGTTAGTTGAAGAGTGTCATTGATAGAGGTTAGCTGCACCTTGCCCAAACATGCATGGTGCGATGCTTCTAAACCTCAACAAGGAATGAAAGAAAAACATCTTTCAAGCCTCATTTCAAACTCTGTAAGATATTCATACCAAGCTGTCACCCAAAAGACCATACAAAAAATATACTGTATATATTCCTTTCAAATTGCCAAAAGCACTACTGACAGCAACAAATCAATCACATTTAATTCTTATTGTGTTAAACAAACAACACAAATAGAACTAACTTGTATACAGAATAACACTTAGCTGGGAGTAAGGTGACTAATCAAAATTGCAAAGAATACAATGAGCCCTAAGATTAGGTAACATATTTAAACCTATTCCCCGGTATAGTATTAACATATTATTAATACATCCACTATTCAGAGGCCTGACAAAAATGCTACAGTGGTTTCAAGAGTAGCTGCATAAACAGTAGCTGTACTCAAAAGTCTTGAAGGCCACAGAAATCCTATTAGCTCAGGAAAAGTACTGGAATTAAAAAATGTCATCAGGTCAGAGATGCCAGAAGAACTATGTTAATTATAATCTCAAATAAAGTAGCGAAAATAGTGCTAAACCAATACCTGCGCTCAAGAAAACTATTAATCAAGATTTATATCAACAGTGTTAAGAGAAGCATAATGACTTAATATAAATTATCTATAGACTCTAAGAAAACCTAGTCTTCATTGAACAGAATATAAAATCCACAATTTGCCATTCTTCATAAAATAAGCCTTACAAACTGAAATTTGTTTTTAAACATTCTGCACTTGGGATTGAAATAAATTTGACATGAATGTCTAATTCATTTCAAATCCAAGTGCAAAATCAAATCCAGTCCCTTGGGACATCCTCCTGACAAGAAAGGCGCTATACAAATGTAATTTTGTATTGCATTGTATTGTTTTAATATTTTACAATTAACAAAGATCTTTCTGTTTCCGACTCAAAGCAGCAAAGAGATCCATCCTAGAATGGTTTCCAAATAATGCACCTTGAGAGGCTATATTCCATTACTGCGACCAACTTCCTACATTCTTTTGTAGCCATAGCCATCACATTTTAGATTAGTATTTTTAAAAAAATAAACAAACAACTAATTAATTAATTCTCCATTTAATGTTTTACGTTTTTTCTTTTGTCCAGACATGATTCTTTGCCAGAGTCTGATGCACAGACATCTAACAAAGAGGCTTACAGAAACCGAACATCATTTTCCACTACTCAGACTTTCAAGAGTGCATATTTTCTTTGATACCATTCAAATAAACATTTACATAATTAGTTGCAGCAAAATCCTCTTATTTTGAATTCAAATTCCTGTCTTCCTCAACCACATTTAATCAAACTATTCACAATCAATCACATTTCTTAATATAATATTTAACATAATTTAGCAATCCTGTAGATCTGGCATAGAGAAGCTTGTTTTGGGTTCTTCAAAGTGCCAAGAAGTTCACGATTCAATGTTTCATAATAAAATTAGATACACTGGCTTTCCACCCACATTCAGTCATTATTTGTTTATTATCAGAAATGTGTATATTGTGTCTAATTACTGCTACTTATAATCTTTCATTTAATAAAACAAAGACCTTTAATCTACTTTATACTCTATTCCTGAAACGTGTTTTGCCTGCATTTGTTAATTGACTGCTTACAGCAGCACATTTCCTAAAAGCTTCAGCAACAAAAGTTAGTTGCTTGCCTAAAGCATATTGTGTAGAGTACTTAGCAAGTACCTTAAAAGGCAACATTAACCTTTTTATAAGAAGCAACACAGAGCAGCTCTAAAGAGTTTAGAGAATACCCCACATCAAAATTCAACAGCTGAGTCATTTCCAAAAGAAACTGTATCCTGGCTACTGTAATAGTAAAACTCCCATGACCAACTGCCACATTAGAAGAAAAAAAGTATGAAAGTAAGTGATGTTACACATGGTGTTAAAAGAGCAGTTACAATGGTACATCAATCGCACTATGGCTTTATAGGTCATGAAGATGCATTTTAAGGTTCAACTCGGTCACTGAATTTTACAGTAATAGAATATTTTTTCAATCCTGACAATCAATTTAGTTTTGAAACCATGATATGCAAACCATTCAGAATTTTGAATCAATATCTTTGTTAAATACAGTATTGAACTGAATATAAAGGGTTTGGCACAAGTATCAAGCGTACCTAACAACAATGTATTTGCTCATCTTACGAAACTGTAATGTTTAGCAACAGATAACTTAAAAATGGACTCGTGTTGACTAAGTTTTCTTTTTGGGTTTAATCTTTAGTGGAATTATGATGTTAGACAATTATTTTAATGTAATAAGAGTGCAAGTGTAAATTGAGAATTTGATAGTTTATTGAAAAGCAATATCAGAAGTTAGTCCTTCAAATAGTTCTTTGCTTGAATTATCTGCTGTAGTGCAATCCATAGAATATTGCAATTTATTTAAGCAAATCTTCAAGGTGAAAAAGTGACTTAAATTAAGAAATTAGTTGTATTTGTGGTTTACAACCCTGTGTATCACCTCTGGCTAGCAACATGCAAGGAGCAATAGTTATCAGGTGTCCTCAATTGTAAGTGCAAGGGAAATGGAAAGGAGATTAGAACCCAGAATTGTCCATGGACATGAATAAGCAAATTATACTGAAATGTTAGATAAGCAAGATATTGCCTGATTATAGCTTTTGAATCTCATGCCCAAATGTATCCAAATGTGCTTTATTCACAAACAATGCATGCTAACCCTAAATCACTTAAATATATTTTTTAAAACTTTGTTTAAATAAGAGTAGTTGGTGCTTTGGAATGGCTGTGCATATACGATTCCCTTGGTGCTACAGAATGGCGACTGCAAACACACTAACAACGCAGTACATGGACTTGTTTTCCCATCTCACAGTACAGCTTCCTGCAAAAGCAACAAAGGAAAGGATTTAGATATCATCATTACATTTGTTTGATGTTGCCTTGTAGTTATACATTACAACATCATAGTATCACCCTAAGCATTTGAGTGACAGGTTTCAAAAATATCAGCAATATATAAAAAAATGCACGTTGTTGTTATCAGCTAATTATTAAAATTACTACATGTTAAAAATACTAAGAGGTCACCAGGAAAAAAAGGTCAGGATTGTGATCAGAAGGGGAGAAATGTTTAGATGCAAAGAACATGAATGGTTTGCCACAAGCAGTTATTGACTGCTAAGAGCATAACATTTAAAATTGAATATCCATTTGATGAGGAACAATGAAACTGGTTATGGGGAGTAAGCAGGGAATTGGAATTAGAAAAATTAGCTTCAGTGGAGAAGCAGCACCAGCATAGGCTCGGTGTGTCTAATGGCTTCCTCTGTGCTCTAATTTCAATGACTATAATTATGATGCACAACTACTACATTAATTCCTCTACAGACTGAATGTTGTTGCAATGAAATTAGGGGTTTCTCTACTCAACTTACATGGCAACAGCAGCATTTTTACTAAACAAAATAGTAATTAAGCACAATTAATGTTGTGGCATTTAATGAATTGCTATTTTTACAAATTAAAATTTAGGCACATAGCGTGCTGCAAGTAATGTCAGACGTGATCTGACAACCTGTAAGACCGGCATTTTTTGAGTGGGAAACCAGCTAGGGAGTGTCAGAAGCCAGGTGTACTGTGCTTTCAGTAAAGTACAGGACAGGTTCACAATACAACTGCTCTATAAATGAACCTGCACTAAACTGGATAAACCATCAACCTATAAGGAAACCAAATGGAGAAGTTTTAAGATTAGTCTAAAAGATGAATGAATATGTTTGAAACTATTGGGGAATTTCCAAACACAAGAATTTTAAACTCTATCCCTTGGGGGATATGACTACTTATAAATGGGAGTTGCACATTTTTCTGATTGATGATGAAATTGAGACTGGATAAAAATAGGGTGGGAATTAAATTAATAAGAACAACAACAACAAGATTTTATTTATAGAGCGCCTTTCACGTCGGGCGCTGGACAATTGGGTTGGGACCTGAGCAGGGGGGAAATGGTCAGGGTGAGGGGAAGGAAGGGAGGGAGTGAGGAGGGGGTAGAGAGTCGAGAGGGGAGCTGAAGGCACGGTCAAAGAGAAAGGTCTTGAGACCGGCTTTGAAGGAGGAAAGGGAGGAGGCGGCGAAGGCACTGGGGGATAGAGTTCCAGAGCCTCGGGGCTGAGAGGCTGAAGGCCCGACCACTGATGGTAGGGCGGTTAGGGCGGGGGATGTGAGCAGACCGGAGCCAGAGGAACGGAGGGTACAGGCAGAGAGGTAGGAGGGTGTAAGGCCGTGAATGGCCTTGTAGGTGAGGATGAAGATCTTGAATTCGATCCTCTGGGGGATGGGGAGCCAGTGGAGGCAAGCGAGGGTGGGAGTGATGTGGTCGCGAAGCCTGGTGCGGGACAGTACACGAGCTGCAGAGTTCTGAATGACCTGCAGCTTGTGGAGGGGAAGGCCGGCGAAGAGAGAGTTCCCATAGTCCAGCCTTGAGGTGATAAAGGCGTGGACCAGAGTTTCAGCAGCGTGAGGGATGAGGTAGTGCCGTAGTCTGGCGATGTTTCGGAGGTGATGGAAGGCGGTGCCAGTTGTGGCGCGGATATGAGGAAGAAAGGACAGCTCAGGGTCGAACAGAATGCCGAGGTAATGCAATACAACTCATGGTTGACCTGAAGCAATAGAACACAATAAGTGCCGCTCCAATAAAGGGGCAATATTTTTGCAGAATTGCCGATATACCACTACAGCTATACTGAGAGCCTGTCTAGCAGGCTAGCATTCCTCTTCCTCAGCTGCACAGGAAAAAAAAGGAATATGACAGAATTGGTATTCTGACAGAATGAGGTGAAATGGACCAAAGAACCTTCTGCTTTAACATCCAGAGCAGGCAGGCAGGGACCTTGGTTTAAATATCTCATCTGAATGGCTGCGTTTCAAATCTTGCAGTTTTTCCAAAGAACCACACTGATCGGTCAGCCTGGATTCTGAGCTCAAGCTCTAGTGTGGTGATAGAACCCAAATCTTCTGTGCCAGAGGCAAGAATGCCACCAACGGGACCAGACTGACTTTTATCATTGAAAAATATAATTTAACCCTTCTTCTTTAACAAATAAATGAGACAGAGAAATAAATGCAATGGAGAGACTTACCATCAGTGCTGCTGTCCCAATAACAGGAGCTGGCTGTATGGAGGCCGGCTCCACTCTTCTGCATTACTGCACAGGTCACTAAAATTACCAATACATTAAGGTGTAAATTGGTAAAATGTTACAAGGAACAGTTTGGGGAAAACAAACACAATCTAAAGAAAGCCAACATGCTTAGATTGTACTAACAGCTGGGTTGATATCTCAACCTGTACATTTGGAGCTGCCAGGTACTCACTGTACATTTGGAAAGCTTACAAACCATTTGTACAATTTTATTTTGACTTTGGAAAACTGAAAGATCTTTCTTTCCATAGTCAAGCTTCTCTAAAGTTAATATTGACTTGAAAGTGAAAATAAAATGATAAAGATGATCCTGTACCAACACAACATCAAAGATCATAAAAACTACCCCCAATGTCTATCAAACTAGATAGCTACTTATATCTCTCAATGTTGAACAATAAAAATACCAAAGCTGCTTGTACATATTTTGCAGACAGTAGTAAAGAATATATTCATTGAATACCATCAGTATGATTTCCATCCAACACTATCTGGTCTAATAGTGTGGGAAATGAGCCAGACCATAGCGTCAGCCCCCTCATGTTTCTATAGCTCAGCTGATAAATTCACAGTATAGTGTGAAACTGAGACATATAGATGCATAACATCCTACATTATTCTCCATGTGGAGATTTTAGCTAGGGTAACAGTAATCCCTTGCCAAATGTTATTTGGGGATTTCAGAATTTTGTGTTAAAAATTCTCAAATCCAAAAATAACATTTGGCAAGAGATTACAATATCCATTCTCTTGCAATTACAAATCAATCTAAATAATTTTAAAAGAGTTAAGATGCAAGCAGCACCTCAGTGCCCATTCCTAGAATAGTCTTGTTCATTTCATCATTACTAAATAAGTACTTACCAATATATTTAAATGGTTTTCCCATTTTGACCAAATGCATCAGGGATTGTTCAACGATGGTAGCAGTCCACTGATTGATCTTACTGTGATTATAATCAATCCCACCACCTATTATGTTCTCAATGCACTGAAAGAAATATAAAGAAGTAACATTTTACATGTAGGGTTAATAAAGTAAGCTCATTAGTGATATAGCATTCTGCTAATTTTTTTAGTGCAATTATGAATCAAACTAGATCGCTTAAACTAAATTTAGAGACAGGCATCTGCTATTTTCTTGTCAAAGATGATTACATTTCAAGATGAGAAGAAAGAAATACGACAAAGAAATAAAGAGCACTTTGTACTACAATTAGTGTTAATATCTGCACAAATGAATCAAGACAACCCTGCTGCTTACACAATCAGTGTCTAACATGCTGCACTTCTATGGTATTTAAACAGGTTTTTTTTTATCAATTACAACAGTCATCTAAACATTTACACATTTATAAAGCATTCCTTTCCTTTACATACCTCTTTGACAACATTGCTGGTTTCATCCACACTGAAGGTTGCAACCTATAAAGTAAATAAGAAATAGCATTCAAATTATTAATGTTGAGGGGCCTATGAAAGATTTCAGGATGAAGTACAAGAACAAATTCAGAATACAACAAATTTGTACATTTTCAGAATAGTTAAACAGTTGACCCAGGTCATTTTCACTGAGATGCTTCCTGCGAGAAGGGTGCAATATAAATGCAAGTTGTTGTCGTCGTCAAAAATTGTAACCAACAGTTGCCATTCACCTCACAACTTCTTCTTTATATAGTATTAACACTTTGCTCAGGGGAAGAGTTTGTTCCTTTTTTAAAAACAACAACAAAAAAAACCATTGGCATTTCACTTTACTTGCTTAGGTGACTTATTGTTCTATTATATAAAGTTGCAGTAATGACCAATTATGACAAATCATAGCAGGATTCAATTGCATTGAGAGTGCCGGCATCGCCGAGTAAATATGGGTGGAGTGACAGAACGGAGCATGTAAGAGAGACTATAAGAAGCTGGGAAAGTAACCATCGCTGAAACACTTAAGCTGTTGTAAACATTTGGGAACTGTGAGCCAGGAGTTTCTCCATCATTAAACACAATGTGAAATTACAATTAAATAATCAATATAACCATGGAGTACCTATCAATGCTTAATAAGGGAGATACAGGAATATGAATAGCATGACGAAGTGGCAGGTCACAGGTTCAATTTCCTACACTGCTGAGTAGTCTCATTCTGGTAAATCAAAATTATTCCCCCAGCAAAAATGTTAAAGCATTTAACCTGTTGACCACAAAAGAATAATTTGAGTAACATATGAAACAAGCCAATCTATAACTGATACTCATAAGATTTTGCTTGGTCTGAACAGCAAGGTAACACATCTTTCCAATCACCCTAGAAAGAGCATCAGGAACTGGGTTTAAATTATAAATTATATTTGGCCATCCATCAAGAAACAGCTTCTCTGTACAGCTTTTGTTAACAACTGTTAGGCTGAACCAGGTGAGACATATGTAAGAGAATGTTTCAAGCCTTGACATTTGAATTGCCCATTAAATAACAGATTGAACATTCACAATGCTTTTGTCTTACACAAAAATATATCTGAATCTACCAACATGCATTTGACTAAAACACATTCTTCTTTATACCAAGCAGTTTTCTACACAAAATATGAATAGGTTACAAAGCTGGAGGAATCTGATTTACTTCTCCATGTGTAGCACTGACCATGGTGACAGAAAATTGTACCCAACAAGTTCTCATAATGTAGCCTCAAAATACTGACTGCCAATTTGGCTGATCATCATCATCAAGTTGATCACTTGATAAACTGGAGGAGAATACATCACAAATACTAATCCCAATGATGAGGAGATGAGTTTTAGTCATAAGGAGTAACATCCATGGTCAGGAAAACATGGGGTGGGGGCATAAAAATAACAACGACTTGCATTAAAATAGCAAACATCTAGGAAATCCTGTCCATTAACTTCCAATAGGCCACTTAAAAGGTAACGGATAATTGGGAGTAAATTCAAGAGACTATAATCTCACTGTACGACTCAGATAAATCACAATCTCTTCCAGCTCCATCCTCAGCTTTTAAAAGTGTCACAGTATGTTTACCATCATGAAATCAATGAATGCTTACATAAACAGATTATTTCTGAAATGTCGATTGTAACTTGAACATTAGAAATGGCAATGGACTCTTCCAGTATTTGGAGGGCCTGCATCCGGCAGCAGGTTTCACGGCAACTTCACAAAACTGTAGATCCATATTAATGATTCCTTGTGTCTTAAAAGTAAATTCACTTTAAAGCAAGTATGTTCACTTCCCATCTGAGTGCAATTGCAACCCACCCAAAAACATGAAAGGGCAGTGGCATCCTCACATATGTACACTTCTCCCATCCTGAAGGACAGCAAAAGTTGCAGAGAAACTATGGCAAGACTGTGCCTGATCTCTAACTGCTCTATGTACAAGTATTGGTTACCATGCTAACCAAAGCTCCCACCTCTGTCTTCCCTTTTATTTATTATTTTTTGTTTTCTTTTTCCTCGTTTTGTTCCTTCTCAATTTCAATTTCACTTGTATGTGTGCCTTTGCTAGTGCAGATTAGACTCCATGTTTGCCCACATTACATTCTATACGGGAACCCCTCACTATATATGGGTGATCAGTTCATGGTGTGGGAGAGGACACGAGCTGCAGGGTTCTGGATAATCTGCAGGTTGTGGTGGTAAGAGCTGGGAAGAGTGGCGAGCAGGGAGTTAGCATAGTCATGCTTGGACATAACAAAAGCATGGATGAGGTTCCTGGCAGCCTGAGGAAGAAGTAGTAGCGGAGGCGGTCAATGTTGGGGGGAGGGCAGAATGAGTCATGGAATTTGGGGGTTAAAAGACAGTTGAGAGTTGAAGAAGACACCAAGGTTTGGTACTAGCTCTCAGCGGCTGAGGTGAGAAGGCGCTGTGATGGGAGCCAAACAGGAGGGCCTCGGTCTTGACGACATTCATTTGGAGACAATTGGTTCTCAATCAGGATTTGACGTCTGTCATACAATTCGCCAGCACAGCAGTGGTCCTTGAGTTGAGGGTGGAAGCAGAGAAACAGAACTGGGTGCCATCCGCATACATGTGGAAGTTAACCTCATACCTCCAGACGACATCACCGAGCAGGAGCATGTAAATATTAAAGAGAGGTCCAAGCCGCACGTGACGTGAGGGCTGGAAGAGAAGCAGTTACAAAGTGGAGACATTGGTAAAGGCTGGAGTGAAACCAGGCAAGGCCAGAACTCTGAAGGTGGAGCTGCGAGGAGAGGGGGTGGAGAAGAAGAGTGGTCGACAACGTCGGAGGCTGCAGAGAGGTCAAGAAGGACGAGGAGGCGGAGAGAGCCCAGGAGTAACATCACGAGCAATCAGACGACAAAACCCACACACCAGCCACCCTGTGCCAGGCATAGCACCAGATACCAGCGCGTCAGTGCCCGAAGCCAAGTGTACCGCTCTTCAAGTTTAGAATGTGTCCACATCAGACTCGTGTGCTCTAAGTAGGGCAACGCTATGGGGGGAGTGGGGGAGAGTGGGGGGGAGTGGGGGAGTGAGGGGAGTGGGGGGGAGTGGGAGTGGGGGAGTGAGGGGAGGGGGGAGTGGGGGGGAGTGGGAGGGGGGGGGGGGGCGCTGTAATGCACAATTTTAGCATTCGTTCCCGACAATCATCTCATTCTTTCTGTTATGAATGTTATGTTCTTGAGAGAGCCCTGTGATTCAGATGGGCGTTAATGCTCCCGCGGGGCGGGGCGCGGGCGGGGGCGGGGGCGGGGCGCGGGGCGGGGCGGGGGCGGGGCGCGGGGCGGGGCGGGGGCGCGGGGCGGGGGCGGGGGCGGGGGCGCGGGGCGGGGGCGGGGGCGGGGCGGGGGCGCGGTTCAGCAGTGAGAGCAGCTGTGCGATGCAGTGACCCAGAAGTTATGTCACCTGACCTCAGGCCCGCGGGAGGGGGCGCCACAGCCCGACTGTGTTTACATGCACCGGGGGGGGGGGGAGCAGTTAGAGAGCTCCTCGTTACCCCCACAACCGGTAGCGGGAGATGCCCGCGGGGCAGGAGAGGGAGGGGGGTATCAACCAACGCCACACACACAGACACACACACACACACAGACACACACACACAGACACACAGACAGACACACACACACAGACAGACACACACACAGACAGACACACACACACAGACAACACACACACAGACACACAGACACACACACACAGACAGACACACACACAGACACACACACACACACAGACAGACACACACACAGACAGACACACACACACACAGACAGACAGACACACACACAGACACACACACACAGACAGACACACACACACACACACACAGACAGACACACACACACAGACAGACACACACACAGACACACACACACACAGACAGACACACACACACACAGACAGACACACACACACACACAGACAGACACACACACACAGACACACACAGACAGACACACACACACACACAGACAGACACACACACACACACAGACAGACACACACACACAGACAGACACACACACACACAGACACACAGACACACACACAGACACACAGACACAGACAGACACACACACAGACAGACACACACACACACAGACACACAGACAGACAGACACACACACAGACACACAGACACAGACAGACAGACACACACACACAGACAGACACACACACACAGACACACACACAGACAGACACACACACACACACACAGACAGACACACACACACAGACAGACACACACACACACACAGACAGACACACACAGACAGACACACACACACACACACACACACAGACAGGGCTCGGCCTCGAGCCCAGAGGCTGACACCCCACTTGGCTTTGCTGCGGTCACAGCCCATCCCATCCCATCCCATCAGGGTCAGAGCCTCTCTCCTCGCGCCCTCCACACCGCCAGCGCCATCTCGCTCACCCACCTCGTCGGTACTGTGCTGATACTCCTCCATCTCCCGCCGCCCGACGTCAACCAAACTCCCCGACTCAGCCCGTGAATGAGCGGAAACCGAGAGCGGCCGAGCGCCGCCTGCAGGCGGGAGGAGCGCTCTCAGCCCAGCACAGCGCCGCCTGCAGGCGGGAGGAGCGCTCCCAGCCCAGCACAGCGCCGCCTGCAGGCGGGAGGAGCGCTCTCAGCCCAGCGCAGCGCCGCCTGCAGGCGGGAGGAGCGCTCTCAGCCCAGCACAGCGCCGCCTGCAGGCGGGAGGAGCGCTCTCAGCCCAGCACAGCGCCGCCTGCAGGCGGGAGGAGCGCTCTCAGCCCAGCACAGCGCCGCCTGCAGGCGGGAGGAGCGCTCTCAGCCCAGCACAGCGCCGCCTGCAGGCGGGAGGAGCGCTCTCAGCCCAGCGCAGCGCCGCCTGCAGGCGGGAGGAGCGCTCTCAGCCCAGCGCAGCGCCGCCTGCAGGCGGGAGGAGCGCTCTCAGCCCAGCACAGCGCCGCCTGCAGGCGGGAGGAGCGCTCTCAGCCCAGCGCAGCGCCGCCTGCAGGCGGGAGGAGCGCTCTCAGCCCAGCGCAGCGCCGCCTGCAGGCGGGAGGAGCGCTCTCAGCCCAGCGCAGCGCCGCCTGCAGGCGGGAGGAGCGCTCTCAGCCCAGCACAGCGCCGCCTGCAGGCGGGAGGAGCGCTCTCAGCCCAGCACAGCGCCGCCTGCAGGCGGGAGGAGCGCTCTCAGCCCAGCACAGCGCCGCCTGCAGGGCTGTGGTGCCTCCTTTAAATTGCATTTTTAGGGCTGGGTCCCTGGAGAGTTGCTGTCTGTGGGCAGAGCCAGGACTGATCCGGCACTAACTGACTGACTGTTTCACTTCCAGGCCCAGAGATGTGTAGATTAGGATCGAATTTGGTTACGTCCGATTCTGAACGCCAGAAGTTCACAACTTAATGAGCGGTTCATTGTGGTGAAGGAGGAGATCACCGTTGCATTGCAGGTTTCGGGTTTGCTGTGATGTTTCATTCTCCACAACATCGACAGATACTTATTCCCTAACAGTAAATCCTGTGAAGCCCTTTGGAACTGAACGACTTTTTGTATGGAGGAGTGTCCTGTGGGCATTTTTTTTCCCTATGGGGACCAAAACAGGCTTATCACAAATGGATGGACTCCAACCAGGAGTCCTCCCACTGGAGTCCTCCCACTGAGTCCTCTCAACAGGAGTCCTCCCACTAAGTCTTCTCAATGAGTCTTCTCAACAGGAGTCCTCCCACTAAGTCTTCTCAATGAGTCTTCTCAACAGGAGTCCTCCCACTAAGTCTTCTCACTGAGTCCTCCCAACAGGAGGCTTCCCAAAAAGATATGTGCGCAAATATGTGAGCAAGGGATGCTAACGAATGCAATAGCACATTTTCTTAATCTTAAGGGACAAAAATGACGAAGAAGTGAAGATCAAGCCTCTCAAGGACAAATAAAAATGCCAGAGAGAAGGCAGATTAAATGAAACTGGTTGTAAGCATAGTTGCAACAGGCACAGCTAGGTATTAATAATTTATAATAATAGTTTATTATTCATTTATTGCACTGTTTCACCCACAAAATACTCTGTCAATCCACTTTACAGTATGTGAATGACACCCAACTCTATCTCTGCCTCCACCCTCGACTCCAGGACCACTGCTATCCATCATCTGAAATACCATTTCCAATACCGCCTCTGTTTTAATTGATTGGTTTGGAACACTCTCCCTGAATCCTTCCACTTGCCCCCACTCTCCCCTTTTTCAAGTCCCTCCTGAAAACCCTTCTCTTTGACCGTCTTACGGCCATCTCCCCTCAACCCCACCCCAGCTCAGAGTCAGGCCCTGCCACTATTAAGCACTCTGAGACACTATCCTGCGTGGAGGACGCTATGTAATTGCAAGTTGTTGTTGTTGATGGTGGTGGATTGCTTTCTGGGGGTAATAATCCGCTCAAAAAATGTGGTCACTCAATCCATGTCTGTTTGTGGGACACTCAGTTCACTTTACAATATATTCTTTGAAGCTCTTTGAAACATCTCAATGATGTGATAAGATTCTATATTAAATGCAAGGATTATTATTATTGAAACCTGGCACATTTAACTGTAACTTTTTTAAAACGCAAAAACTTGAATGTTAATAAGAAAAATAGAACTGGAAAAATGAAATTTCACCCCAAAATAAATTCCACAAGCCAATGAATATTCCTTGTAGCTCTCACCTGTGATTTTAGTCCAACACCATCAGAGGGAGACAAATGCACTTTCTGTCACTAAAACCTCAAAACTGAGTTCTGTACATTGCACAGACAGAGAAGGATATGCATTCACACATACATAGGCCAGTGTTGACTTGAGTGGATGAAGTGGCGAGATGGGGAGTTGGTAGATGGTCATAGAGGTACCTTGGGGAATTTTAAGGTGAGAATCTTGAATTTAATCCACTGGGTGTGAAGATCCAGTTGAGCCGAGCAAGGATGAGGATGATAGGTTTGCAGAGGCTAGTGCAGCAGAGATCCGGGGTGCAGAGGTCTGGATATAGTACAGCTTGTATAGGGAAGAGCTGCAAAGTCTGGCGAGCAGGGCATCGACATAGTCAAACCAGGATCAAGGTTCCAACTGCCTCTTCCAGTGCATATTAAAGCTCCTATGACACTATTTGAAAAGGGAACAGCTCTTGGTTCCTTGGTAAACAATGATCTTTTAGAGGATGATTATTGCCACTTTCATGGAGGGAAGAGGAATATTGAAACTGTGCGGCCCGTGTCATAGTGTATGTACATCAGTGCCTTTGTATGTTTACAAAATAGAGTTAAGAGGTTTGACAATTAAACTTTATAATGTATTTTTAAAGTTATAAACTTTATAAGATGTTGGTGTGACCTTGATGGTGTAAATGGCCACTATGTTTGCCTACAAAAATCAGTCTACCTGCACATAACAGTAATTACTGGACATAAAATGCTCAATTTGCATTATAGATTTTCAGTTAAGAAACCAGTGCAATGTTTAGAGGATTGGAGGCTCCTCTTGGTATAATTCTGCAGAAATGATTAAATGATTTGAAAGGGAGTTTCCTGACTCAATCTTTACAGCCAGAAAAGATGATAGAATGGTCAACGCCCTGAAATCCATGTTCAATGAGCTGTAACCTATAATAATAATCCTTGCATTTGATATAGCGCTTTTCATGTCGGGAGGACGTCCCAAAGCGCTTCACAGAACACACTGTAAAGTGAATTGACTTAAACACTGGACCAAATATCATGATGCTGTACTATTAATTTAAAAAAACAGCACCTGGGATGGTTATTAAGCAACTGTATTAATTTAGGGGATGATCATTGCCACTTCACGGGGGAGGAGGAACATTGAAACATCATAGTGTATGTACATCAGTGCCTTTGTATGTTCACAAAATAGGGTTATGAGCTTCGACAATGAAACTTTATAAAAGCCAATGTCTTTTTAAAGTTAAAAAATCGATCTGTCCCTCAATAGACACAAAGACAGCACCAGTCATCAGTGATTGGAGAACGGCACCAGCAAAGGGACTTTCTTTTGAAGCAATGTGTTGGGACAAGTTGATCCAACTTGAGTCAGTACAGTCAGTAATCATTCAAGTTGACTGTCTCGTCCCTCCCAGTTGTTATGCAAAACTCAAAGTAAATAGGGTACGTGTACATTTCAGTCCCATGCCTTCTTTGAAATGGCGAAACAAAATGATGATGACTCGTGTGCAACTGGGACCCCATCAGCGTATAATCGCAGCATTGTAAAATAACTCAACAGAGAAGCAGCAGTTTTCTCATACACTTGATTGCAAAGAGAGAAATCATAACCCAGTTGGAGTGCATTGCCTTCCCTGGGACATTCAGAAGTGGAATTTCGTGCCTGTTTCAGGGAATGCATCCTCGGTTTACGTTAAAACGTTCGGTGTGAACAGCATTCCCTCAAATGCACGAACGAGTACAGTAGAGGCGAAAGTTTCGTGACTAAAGGGTTTGCCATTTTCATGCACGTCTCAGCTTCTCCACGTTAGAGTGAAGATCCGCCCCTTTCAGGCAAACCCGAGGTTTATTTTCAGACCCGCCTGAAGCCAGAGCCACGGAGGAGAGAAAGGTTAATCTGCGGCTGGTACAAATAGCCCGAAAACCTCATTCCCAGTCACTGCCATCGGGATCCACACCTACAATCGGCACAAGGCTCCCCCCAGGTAAGGGGCTAACGCGCAAATTCATTACCAATTGAAATACTGTGTAATGTGACCAGTTCTTCCAGAAGATCGAACTGCAGTTCAGTTCTGGTGTGGGACTGGTGAAGAGAAGAGATCTCTCGTCAACACAGGGAATATTGATCAAAAGCCTTCGTTCAAATGGTAGTACAGTAGTAGCAGCTCCAACATTACCTCTGGTGAATAATTTACACCGACCGTAGTTCCGGGATATTGGAATATAGCACAGCACATATGGAGTGCAGAGGTAGATCTGATGCACGTTTGGCAGAGAAATACGATGCAATGATTTAAAATATAGAATCCACCCCTCCCCTTTCCAAGAGTGGCGTGTGTGTGTGTGAGTGTGTGTGTGTGTGTGTGAGAGTGAGTGCGAGAGACAGACAGACAGACCTGGTCTCTGTGTTGGGATAAGGAGAGTCATTCATTCAAAATTGTTGCAACGTTTTGTGGATCCGCTCTGGACGTCTCGGGTTAAGCAAACACTCGCTGTGTTTGGGCTGAATGGATGCCAATTCCGGGGTTTTGGGTCATCGATCCTGTGTGTTGACAGCCACACACACTGTATGTGCTACATGGGAAAGTCGGTGAGTCCATTGTGTTCTTCCAGTGTTTTATTTATTAATACGTAATGCGTTTAGTGGAAACACACTGGGCTTCTCCTGTGTTTACTTTGGACAGATGTCAGCATCTGACGTGTCCAAGTGACTATCTGTCTGCTATTTGGCATGAACCAATGAAGGTAAACAAATTGCAAAATGCAGGAACACATTTATAATTTCCAGTCTAGAACCTTAGAGACTGGGCAAGTGACCTCACCGGTCAGCCAAATTTATGGTCTCA